ACTGTTATATAGAGGACTCTCTTTTAGTTCTTCAAGTGTTCTTACCACCACACCGTACAGTTCAACAAAACATAAAACTGCATCATGTTGCTCAACCTAATGGGTTTCAGAAAGTGGTAACAGGCTGATTGCTCTTGATTCGGGGAAACAGCCTTTTATATTTTTCTTCAACAGTTCCAGTCAGATGGATGATGCCCTGAAGAAATTGCACACAAATGATATTGTTTCTTGGCGGTTTCTGACAGGTGAAATGCTGTAAGTCTTTGCTAAGGCTAGATTTAATGAGTGAGCACTGCAGTGGATGAAGACAGCCAATTGATACTTCTGCAATATAATTGCCTATGCATTACTAATATGACCACTCATGTCAATAGCTCCATCATAACCCTGTTTGTGCAAGTATTGCAAGTTCAGCCTAATTTTCCAGTGCTTTCAAAATAATGCTTGCAAGTCAAAATAGGGAAACTCTGTGATACATTGCATCTTTCAACAATTTTTGACTGTCTTGTCACCACAAATTCTATTGGTTCATTCTGTATTTGAGGACTAGTATACTGAGCATTCATAGCTGCAGTTTTGAGATGACTTTTCAGGTCAGTTTCTGATGTGGCACAAAGTCTCAACCAGGCTCCAAAAATACCATCATTGTGCAAAGGTTCTTCACAGGTTATTTCCTTTATCACAATGACATGTTACATGAAGACATTTTCCACTGTGAATTAGCAAGAAATTTTCAACCAAGCACAAGTTGTTCTGATGGTACTCTGTTGTCTGGTGTCCATTGAAGACTTGTATTTCATCTTTCCATTGCACAAATGATTTAGGAACCAATTCACCAAGCTGATGATGACCATCTTTACCCCCAACTTCTCCTCCAAACACCACACAGTACTTAAAGAGTGCACCTTGTTCATGAAATGAGCAGGCTAACCAGAGAAATCTGTAGAACCATTTGGGCTGAAAACATAGATGCCTCTTCTTATTCACAGGAAATATATATCCTGGCAATGGGATCTGCGGATTTTGCACTAATTGAGTTTTCAGCTGGTCATCAGAAACAGTTTTGTTGATATAAAGTCTAACAGTGACACAGTTTCTTGTCTTTGCTCCTGTTCCATGGTTTCTTTGGCAGGGCTTGGATTAGTTGAACCAGTGTTAGATACCTCAATTGCCACAGTTTTCACTTGCAGTCCAGGTATGCATGTTCTGGAGTCTTCATCTGTACCAGCTGCTGCCATGGTTCTCAACCTGCTGCCTTCTTGGTCTCCAATATTTGGCTTTTTCTCCTTTTTGCCATGAACTCAAAAACATTCTGTTGCTTTGGTAGACATTTACGCATCTTCTGGAGACAGGTGGATGAAAGGACACACTAAGAACAACTAACAGGCTTTAAGTCTCAGAATAGCAATTCAAGCTAGCAGACAATTGCACAGTAAGACAGCTGTGTTTGGAATGACCCACAGCTGCTTTCGTGCCTTGCTTTTATACCCCAGTGGGAGGATCAAGAAGCCGGACATAAGACACCTCTGAAACAGGGAAGAGCAAGAGAGCAGTGATGTGACTACTTTCAGGGTTTTAAAAAATAATATTTTAAAAACTATTAAAGATAATTACATGGGGTAAAAACAAAGGAAACTACATAATAAAATATATAATTGTGTTTAAATTTGATGGAAATGTTGATTAGAACCAGAGGTACAGCATTTTGAAAGATCTCTTGCACATATATTTTCACTTTAAATGGGAATAACTAAAAATCAAGTTCTATGACCCACACATATTACGTTTTTAGAAACTACATACAATTCCTTTAATCTGTTACCTAGTTATTCAAAAATACTTGATAGTTTAGGAGAAAATAAAGTATAAACTTTTAAAGAAAACACAAATTATCATAGTTGTTATATACCTGCAAACATTGCATTTAAACTTAAGTTTTTTTTATGGAGTTTAAACTTGGGAGTCTGATTCGGATGTCAGTTTCAGTGGATTACATCACCTTCGCATCTAAAATGTTAATTAAATATGCACAACATCAAAACTTGGTTGCTTCTGCTGTATCGGCTATTGCAATGTAAATTGGCAGAAAGGTAGGTAATGATAGTGTGAATAAATTATCAAAATTTGGTTGAGATTGTGCTTGCAGTTCTAAAGGAACTCAAATGTTTGCTTCTCATAGACCTAGCATGGGGATTTGCTTAATCAATTAAAATTCATGAGTAAACCAGGTTTTTCTTTCAACCTAAAAAATTTCAAGGTGGGGGTGGTGGAGGTTGAACCCGAAACATACACACACTACTTTGGCTATGGGCTTGACTGTGGCTATTTTAATAAAATAGACAAAGGACAACTGGTTTTGATGAAACTGTAAAGTGTTTTATTGTCATTGTCAATAGAAAGAATGGATGTACTCAAGCAATCTGTGTTAAATTGGCTAGCCTAATTAGAAAACAAGCTATCGCTGGTTGCTCTGTTTAAGCCATTATGGATCCATTGTTTAGCTGTTTAGGTGTAATTGTCACCAATGGAGCAGGGCGGGTGGATGGCATGGGGTGGAAAAGAAATTGGTTGCATTTGCATTTCTTAGGAAAATATCCCTTTTGAATATTTCTGAACTGGCAATGGGATGGAGTGTTTGTTTTCTTAGGCATATATATATATATATATATATATAGAGAGAGAGAGAGAGAGAGAGAGAGAGAGAGGGAGGGGGGCTTTCAATATATTTTGTGCACAAAATAAGGGTACTTTCTAATATTGTTCAGTCTAAAATGCACACAGGTGTGCGTACTTTAGGAAAATGTTTACCAAATTATGCAGACTTCTCCTTGTGGAAAAACAGAAAATTAGCTACTCTTATATAGAACTAGGACTGGATGGGAATGCTGATGAGCTTCTGGAAATCACTGTGGAGACTTTCATATTCTTGGATGTAACAGCTTATATATTGGTGCAATGTCTTATGGCTAGTGGAAGATCAGTAGTCTATATATTGACACAGCAATTTGTGTTAGTGGTACATCAGTAGCAAGAGCCACATCATTGCCACATGCAGCACAGTGACATAAAGAGTTTTTCCCCCCATGTCAGGAGTGACTTGAGAAACTGCAAGTCTCTTCTGGTGTGAGAGAATTGGCTGTCTGCAAGGATGTTGCTCAGGGGATGCCTGGATGTTTTTGATGTTTTACCATCCTTGTGGGGGGCTTCTCTCATGTCCCTACTTGGGGAGCTGGAGCTGACAGAGTGAGCTCATATGTGATCTCCCCGGATTCGAACCTACGAGCTGTGGGTCTTCAGTCTTGCTGGCACAAGGATTTAACCCACTGTGTCACCGGGTATTTGTGCTGCCAAAGCGAGCATGGCATAAATAGGTGCTGCATGGCAAAGTGATGGTGGATTATGGGGATTTTGCTGCCCGCAGTGGCACACCTAGTTTTTTCTTAGGCAAGATATACTCAGAGCTGGTTTTCCTATTTCCTTCCTCTGAAATATAGCCATCATTACCTGTAGGCTCAAGGAAAAGCAATCTGCTACAGCATCTCCTAGCATGTGTGCTCTTTCTCAATAACTTTTACCATCCTTGCCATATTATTAGCCACGTCTGCCACAGTTTTCATCACCATTTAATGAAATGGTGGAAAGTATGCATGAAGAATAAAACCCCGCCAAACAATCACCTCAGACATGCCAGTCAAAATACAGCAAATAATAATTTGCTGCCCATTAATGAAAACTCACATCTACTAAACATAGGAAGCTTATTCTGCCCAATGGTGGAATAGATCTGACATATGTTGAAGGAAGCAGAAATACTATTCCACCTCTAAATGCCAAGGAGGGGTAGATATTAGCCAATGTTAGGGATATAAATTTATACTTATTTAATTCTCACATTCATTAAGTAATTTTTTCAAAGGCATGACCCCCATTCATTTTTAATTTTTGTATTCTTTTCAGGGACTTTTCACAACAAAATCCACAAAAGAGTTTTAACAACAAAATGTTGAGAAGAAGTGCACAGAACTGTAACATTTTTGTGCATAAAACCAACATGCATTATTGTGTGTGTTTCAAAAAGTCCCCTTCCTCATCGAGCCTTGCCTATGTCTTTAGGAAATAATATTGCACTGAAACCTGGATGGCATTTATGAACTGCTCCTCTACTTCCCACATGACAACAGGCAAAATCAATGGCAACTTGGTTCTTGCATGGCCATAACAATAATCCTTTGCATGCAGGAAGGTCTTAATTCAATGGTTGACATGCCCTCCAAACTCTCTTTTATTCATAGAATGCAAAAATGCCATTCAGGCAACAGAGCACCTATCTATGTGATGTTATGTCTTGATGTACATATAACAAAACTTACTTACCTGTTAATGAAGACATTAATGATGGCATATTGCTACCTTTGGGACACACCTACACTCATCATGATTCCAGTCTGTTGCCTGGTCTTACCTCTTAAATTCTCAGAGGAAATCTTCAAATGAAGCACTGGCTTTGGATGACTCATCATAATGTACTCGAGATATTGCTGGATGCACACTCATGTTCAAAGGAAGTAATGTTCCAATCAGTGTCTTCACTTCCATACTCCCCATCTTCACCTCAATGATTCATCTCCAGGTCTTCATATTATGGCATGACTCATTTCTGCCTTATAAGAGAGAGGAAAAAAACTTTGGATAAGCTGACAATTCCTATTTATAGGATGCTATCTCATACTCCAACTAAGAAACTCAGTCATAATGGATTATAAGTGAGCAGCTTGAAATTCGTACTTTTCTTCAAAACAATCTATCACTTTTTCTAATGAAGCTTCAGTTGTGAGGAAAAGTTCATGAGCAAGAAACCCTTGGCAGTTTGAAGAAAAAGAGCAAAAGAGTGCTGATAGTGCTATTCCAGCCAGGTTATTTCACAACAGTGATCATTCTAGAACAGCGTTTCTCAAGCTGGGGTTTGGGACCCCTGGGGAGGTCTTGAGGGAGTATCAGAGGGGCCACCAAAGACCACCAGAAAACATATATTTCTGATGGTCTTAGGAACCCCTTTGGCAGAGAAGGCTGAAGATCTCTCCACCTGTCCTCTCCTGTTTTGGAAACAGACAACAAATCATCCCAACAAAAGCCCTCCTCTGCTGTGATTGGCCAGCCTCTCAACCAATGCATCCCTTCAAGGTGTGGGAAGTTTGGCCCAATTCTATCATTGATGGGGTTCAGAATGCTCTTTGATTGTAGTGAACTATAAATCCAGCAACTACAACTCAAATATCAAGGTCTATTTTCCCCAAACTCCACCAGTGTTCACATTTGGGCATATTATTGTGCCAAGTATGATCCATATCTATCATTGTTTGAGTCCACAGTGCTCGCTGGGTGTAGGTGAACTACAATTCCAAAACTCAAGTTCAATGCCCACCAAACCCTTCCAGTATTTTCTGGTGGTTCTGTGTGCCAAGTTTGGTTCAATTCCGTCATTGGTGGAGTTCAGGATGCTCTTTGATTGTAGGTGAACTATAAATCCCAGCAAATACAACTCCCAAATGACAAAATCAGCCCCCCCAACCCCACCAGTAGAACACATGGATCTCTGTTAGCTCACCAACCTTTGACTTAGCTATGGATTTTTTGGTGAATTTTCAAGGTTTTTATATAAAAATATTTTTAATAATAAAGAAAATCTGTTCCTGGTTTGAAAGTGTTATTTCCTGTTTCATTGGGTGGTCTTTATTTTCAAAGTAGTTGTTCTACTCCAGAAACTTTGTTTGTGTGGCACAAACTGTTAAATTGATGGAGAACAGAAATCATAGTACAGACCTCATCAAGGGACATCGAGGCTGGCCCCCTTCTTCTGGGCAGAAAGGCACCATCCAAACTCTCCTGACATCCATTTGCTTCCTCTACTGAGTTGGAGGGGACTCTCAAGATACATCCATCTATTTATTCCTATTTGCAGAGGCAATCATGTCATTTTATCATTACTTACTGACTGTAAAGGGCTGGCTGACTGGTTCTGGCTAGCTACCTAGTCCCTTCTTCATGGCAATCAGGCAAAAGTAAAATGATTGGTTTTAAAGCAGTTTATGTTCTCTTGGCTTTGCAAAAGCTGCTTAGTGCTTTGCTACCATCTTTAGACACCTTTGTAGATTCAATCTGATTGTTTTATATTTAGACGAAGACTGCTACAGACAGCTATTGTTGGGTCCTTCAGCCATTTTGGCTAATAAGCAGGCAAGCATTGTGGGAAATGTAGTTTAACAGCAGGGTCTTTTGCAACCTCTACCATCGGGAGCCTGGCCTTCACAAACTAAAGTTAAAGATGGCTGTGATTAGCCACGCCCACCATTTCCCTCCTTGCATCACCGGCAGAAGGCATGAGATTTTAAAAATTCCCTTTACCTTATCAAAGTTGCTTGATGTTTGTGAAAATTGAAATAACCTTGGGATACAACTGAACATTATAGATTATTTCCAGAAAAAAGGTAAGTGGTTCAAATTCAGATTCCCCCCCCCCCCACACACACTTTTCCAGCATGTTTCAAAACTGCATCGGATGTCCAAATTCGTATATTGTACTCCGAATTTTAGTCTTTTCCAAATGAACTTATCCAAAGCTTTGCTTTGGCTTTTGTTGCTAGCTTCAATATAATAATAATAATATTTGATAATATGGAATTCTTCCAGAAATGTTTAGAATAGCAAGTGAAGGTACATCTAAGATATATTGTTATTAGACTAGACTTCCTGTATCAGTGGCTTCCTGGTACAATAAGTTGCTCCTTCAGAAATAAACTATTGATGGCCTATGTCATGATTGATAGATAACCAAAACATTAGCCAGAGAGCTCCTCCATTACCTCTGCTAATCTCAGGGTTCCACAGAATGTGGTCATAGTAGTTAAAGGGGAATTATAGTGTTACAATTAGGTTACATGAAAACATCCCAGATCAATATAATCTGCAGCATAGGAGATCAGCATAGGCTGCTTGAGTCAACAACTTTTTGTATTTCAGTGTTCCAGTATTTGTGATGGGAGAGGTACCCTGCTCCCACGGTTATAATCAAAAATCTCTCAAATTCTATACATATCCAAGGGATATTAAGCAGCAACAGACAATTTTGGAAGCAGGATATTTCCAAGTGTCTGGGGAAAGTCAAGATCATCTTATCTGGAGCCAATAAGAAAATTCCTACTTGGGGTCAGCTTCACTACTTTACTATACCAGTTAATGGGCAAATGACATAACCAGAGGATTGCCCTAAATTTGAAAACCAATTTGGGGTGACCCAAATTGACCTTAATGATTGCATCTGTCTTTCAAAATTAAGACTTCAGATGTCAGAATCCTCCATTTGGTTTTCAGAACTTAGAATCCTAGTTATTCTTTTGGACACACTTTGAAAGACTGAGGTAATAGGTATCCATATTTCTGCATTCCAATATTTGGAAAGGAGCTTGCACACAGTTGAAACAATTACATATTGAAGTAGCAGCATGCAATACTAAGAATTTGATATTTGAAAGCCTAGCAGGGTTTAAATTTGACTTCAAGGATGTAGACTCACAAATCTATCCTGCAAAACTTTTGCCTTTGAACAAGCTACAGGTTTAGCCACCCGAAGTACAAACATTCTATATACCAGAACTGCTTAGATTTTTCTCTCTTGCAAATAACATTTCTCTTCAGGTTTGCAAATCTAGCTAGTTCTGCCTGACAGAATAAATTATTCCACAGCCTGATCAGAAAATGTATTAAGAAATGTAATTTATTCCATAGAATTGCTGGAATCACTTGTGCTACTGTGCCTCTTCAGATGTTGAGTCACTAGAGAACCAATTGGCTGCATTGAAGATTTTTATTTTTATTATTATTATTACAAAATAAATCTCATCTAAATAAAGGAGTCCAGTGTAAAAACTAGTAGTTGGGGAGAAGATGCGATTTTGCAGGCATACCCTAGAGGACTGGATTTTTGTAAATCAATGCATAGATTACCATGAGCTAAATACACAGGATTTGTCATTACAGCCATCATCTTCCCCACTAGTACATATAAAGAGAAATTTTGTACACAATTTGCAAAATGTGATTAAATTAAATACACTTTATATGCCAGCTGAAGTTTATGTTTGAATGCGGGGAAAAAGCTATGTTATGTCCTGCTTTTTCTTTCACATTTGCATTTATTCATTCTGAAACATGATATCATATATCATTCCATCCTCTATATAGACAGGTAAATTAGATAGGCAAAACCATCCTAAAATGTCTATTCATTGTTCAGGCCCACTGAATTCAATGAGTTTTACTCCAAGGTTGGCATGTATCATTGCTGTTATTTTCTTACACTTCCAGAAGCAGAATGCATTTGAAAGATACCACAGACATGTAGTTTCAGATTAATGGAGCAGCAGTCATTTGATTTTAAACAATCCTTTTAATGAAATATTTAAACTAGGAAAAGGGAATAACTTAACCCAAATGTAGTGTAATCACTAATTCTCTAAAATGTACTACTCCACCACTTTACTGTACCATAAATATGATCACTAGTTCTCAAAGGTTACACCAGCAGAGCAAAAGTTCTGGCAGTTTATACAACCAACAAAGCATCAAGTATTATCCTGGAAGCAGATTGTGGCTAAAATCCTGTTGGGTTTGTCTATTGGTTCAATTATGGTAGAGGAGACAACAGCAGCAACGAAACAGATGTGGTGAGAGTAGGACCAGACAGACAGAGAGAGAGAGAGAGAGAGAGAGAGAGAGAGAGAGAGATAGGCAATTGTCCACATGACTATCCCCAGAGTGCCTTTCCTCTGAAAAGAAACAAGCTTCTGAAGCCATGAATGGGAAGCGCTGAAAGCTTAGATATACAACTGAATGGACATGCCTTGGATTACTGTGTTAGTTGGCTCTCTTTCAACAACCTCATTCTGAAAAATGCACTTAAGTTTTAGACTATCATTTGTCATGGATTTTTTAAAAAAAACCCACAACCCCTTGCTCTATGTAGAATAATATATTTTATATATGTTACTTTACTAGCTAAGAATATATAACAGAGCAAATTAACTTTTATCCTGACTGTAAAACACCCATCCTCATGTGCCTGTACAGTGAGGTTCCATAAAAGTTTAAGTGGCTCATCATGGTAAAGTTCATCCCTGACATAGTATAACTAATGCAAAGCTCAAAGGTGATATCATCTCTCTCTTATGTTATTCTACTATTCTGCTTAACCAAATGCCAAATGAGTCCCTTGGAAAGTCTCATGTATTGCCCCATTGACTTCTGGGATGTGCCCACCAATGATTACTGTGAGAACTTATTTGCATCCATGGGACTAGTTTGAAATTCAGCAGTTGTCTGCAATTCAGATAATCCAAAGTACTGTACTTGCTCTATGGACAGTGTTAGTGTCCAATTTTAGCAGAAATTTCAATGCCACTTTCACCCTGACATATTATGATCTGCTAAGAATATCATGCTATGAGTTCCTGCTAAACAGCAGGCCATTTGTAAGGGCACAATTTTTATAGTGATGGCTGATAGCTTACATGGCAAAGGATGGTCAGTCTACTCTGGGTTTTAGCCCACATATTAAAAGAACCGTTCTTGAATATTTTCTCCAAAATATGATCAGCACCTTGGGGAG